GAGTTCAGTTGGTTTTTACACCCAGTGTAATATCGAATAAGGCTCTTAGTAACTGAAATTTCCCACAGTTTGTGTTTTAGTGTTGTTTTTTAAAATCATGAATGATGTTATCTTTCAAAATGACTTTTCAGTGGTTATTGAGATAATTACAGTTTTTTCTCCTTAACTATGTAATTGTTTCTAGTTTTACACAGGATTTTACTGTATTAGATCATCCTTGCATTTGTAGAATAAATTTGTTAGGTCAGTGTCATATTGTCTTTTTATATTTATAGATTCTGTCAGGTATTTTCAAAGCATTTCTGCATGGATTTTCATGAGTTATAATGCATACCAAAATTCTCTGTGTGTCACACAATGTTTTCTTTCATCCTTAATGTTGCCATTTTTGACTAGCTAATACACTATATATACTTACTTTAAAAATTTTGTGTATTATCTGTTCTCCCATTAGAATGTAAGTTTACTGTTGGATCCTTAGCCCTTATGATAATGCTGGGCACAGTAAATAATCGAGGGAGTGCCTTATAGAGAGAATTATTTTTACTTTTTAGAATAATCTACTTTTTTAAACAGGTTAAATAGCAATGGGATGATACTTTCTTTGAAGGTTCGTTAGTAACAATCAGTCCTAACATTTATTAGCTTTTTGTTAGCATTTATTATTTATTATTATCTTTCTATTTTGACTGGTGTTTCCCTGAAAATAGTCAAATTGCATACTCTACAGAATAAAATAACAGACACGCAGCTTCTTTGCACTGCACATTTTGTGACTGCTGAAGTCTTCTCACAGAAATGCTGGCCAAAGAAGGAGAGACTGGAGGCCTGGAACATTCACAACGTTATCGTATTTCCTTACCTCACACAATGTAAGCATACACAATTTGCTGAGAGTTTTGAGAATTCATATCCTATAATTCAACTTTTTGGCTGGGATTCATACTATTATTTTACTACTAGTTGTGAAGAGGGTCAGAGGCATTTTCAAACCTGATTATCCTAATTTTATCTAATGTATTTCTTTTATTACCTAAGCATAAAAATTCACACAATTAGGAGGAAAATTCTGCTTTTAAAATTATCCTAAAATAAGAAAGACAGTCTTGCCACAACTGGAAGGACCCACAACTAAAATATATACAACTATGTACTGGGGGGATTTGGGGCGAAAATGCAGACAGAAAAAAGGAAAAAAGATTAAACAGTTGTCAGCTCAGGTCCCAATCTTAAAAAAAAGAAAGAAAGAAAGACAGTCTTTGGTATTTCACTATTAAGCATGTTATTGATTTGGGGTTTAAGATTTATACTTTTATTTTGTAGTAAGTAAATTCATCTATTCTCATAATGTAACAACATATTTTTTTTCAGAAAGTGGAGTGGAATTAATGAACCATGCTTAAGAACCTATAAATATGATCATATTTTTTCATTGACTTATTTTCATGACACATAGATTAATTTTAAAATATTTAATTATGATTCTACTTGTAAGATTAATTGAAGCCAATGAGAGGAAATAGGGATCAAATTTACCCTATGGCCTAAAACAATCAAATAAACCAGAAAAAAATATATGAAATAATGGCTTTCAAGATAATAGATGTCAGAAACAATTGACAGTAATAACTGAGAGCGAGGAATGAAAAAAGTGTAGTCCTAGAATTGTCCCAGCTTATATTGCCTTTAAAAAGTTTCCAAACCGTGGTATAGAGAGGGGTACCTGGGAAGATCCCAGTAGACTGCTTTAGTTGAGCAGATACAGCTGAGAGTCCAAGGAGACCCAGGCATGAAGGCAGCTAGAATTCTGAGGGGAAATTATCAAAGAGAATAGAGTTGGAATTTATAAGTTTTATTAATCTTTGAAAGGATCAATTCCTAGGTTTATATATTTTCTCTATCTTTAAATAATTTCTATTTCAGTGATTTCTGTCTTCTATTTACTATTGCAATTTTGCAATGTTCTCTGGATTTAGTTTGTTTTTCCTTTTCCAGCTTCTTAAGATGGAAGCTTAATTCATTTCTTATAATATTTCTTGTTTTCTAATACTTGCATTTAAAGCTACAAATTCTCTCTAAGCACTCCTTTAGCTGCATCCAGTAAATATATATAGATATATATATATATAAAATCTTTCATATTTCTTTCACCCATATCTTTCATAGATATCTTTCATATATATTTTATATATGTTTAGTATATCATTGTCTTTCTGTTGAAAATTTATTTTCAGGGGCTAGCTTGGGGGTGTAGTGCTTAATTTTATGTGCTTGGCTTTGGATCCCCTGGGTTTGCAGTTTTGGATCCAGGGTGTGAACCTACACACCACTCATGAAGCCGTGCTGTGGTGGCATCCCACATGCAAAATAGAGGAAAATTGGTACAGATGTTAGCTCAGGGACAATTTTTCTCAAGCAAAAAGTTTGGCAACGTATTTTAGCTGAGGGCTAATCATCCTCACCAAAAAGCAAAGAAAAGAAAAGAAAATTTATTTTTAAAAATGTTCATGTTTAATTTAAACTGTATTGCTTAATTTGAAAATAATTGGGAAATGATATATTTTCTTATGAATTTCTAATTGAATTACATTATTCTAAGACATATATTCTGTATGATTTAGGTCCTTTGAAATTCATGGCAACTTTTTTGTGGCCTACTATATTGTCTGTTTTGGTGAATGTTTCATTTGCACTTTGATATAAATGGAATAGTCCCACAACTGTTTTCTCTTTCCCCACTTCCATACTATCACAGATTCTATCAACTTGCCTGTCTGAAACTATGTGACAAACTTCATCTGCATTTGAAACAAGTTTTAAATGACTTGTTCTGAAATTCATGTTCATCATCTTCTGGAAGTCAGTTCAGATGCCATCTGCAAACATACAGCTTAGATTTAAATTGCTTTACCTATTTTGAAGGTCATGATTAAACAATAGAGTTTTTACATATTTCACTTCTGCTGTGCTTTTCCCTTTTGGTTATTTGACCTCAAGTTGTTCTTTTTTGATTCCATCTCCCATCCCTAGAGGACATGGTTCAATAAGTTCTCTTGTACATGGTGATTATGCTGGTGGCACCCCTGGAGATTCAGAGTCTGCCTTCAAAATTATGCTTAAGGCCCCAGTGAACTTAATTAGAGAAGAATCATCATTGAAGATGCACCAACTGAATGACTCAATAGTATGTGCTGTGGTTCAAATGTAGACAAAGTGTGTACAGACCTTGACCCTTACCTCAGAGAGGTTTGCCTGTTTCTGTATTCACATGACTGTCAGGAGCTGAAATAGTAGATTCAGAAGCCAATAAAGTATCTATATAAAATTTTTCTCCATCCTTCAGGCAACCCAAATTCAATAATGCTGTATAAAGATGGGCCAGTATAACTGATTGAGAATTGAAATGTTATAAATGCTATTTCACTGTTTCACTTTTATTGTCATAAAACAGATTCTGTAAAATATTTATCTAAACAGTTCCAAATTTTCTCCTACACCGTTACTTTTTTGAACTTCAAAATATTGATTTAATATTTGTTTGTCAGCAGGACAAATTCTGTGGACAATGAAGATTTTCAATGTCTTTGTTCACAGTCAAGATTCAGACTTCTTTAGGTTACAGACACTCATATTCATTTTGAAAATCGCAGCAATTTAAAAGGTAATATTTTTCTGAAAGAATGAAATGAATCAAACTTCCGGCAGGCATGTAAAGAGTTTGTTTCATGGAAACAGGTCAAGATCCAGTGGTGGTGCATGTGTTATCTTGCTCTCCGTGCTCACAGAAATGGCAGCAGTGCATGAAGGACGATGGAGAAAGCATCACAATCTAGAACCTGAGTGGAATGACTGTCTCCTTACGCAAGTAACTCAGGAAGTGTATTTACACGTAAGATTCTGATCTAAGCTTTACATTTTGCAAGACTGAATTGCTCGTGTGACAATTCACATTCTTTTAAAAGTTCTCCTATGTAATTGTGATAACCAGCAATATTAGGGATCCTTTGTGATTACTAAAATATATAGAGATTGAGTCAATTCTGTAATACTCTTTTCCATATTTTCATATTATAAAGATTCAAAATAAATTTACCTCCTCAACATCAATATTTTTCAAAAGCACTTTCAATTATACCTATTTAGGGATATTTTAATTGCCAGATATTTCTAAATACCATGATAGTTTCAATTGTTATATTCTCTAAACCTTGTTTGTTAATCTGTTAAAAACAAGAGGATGACGTAGCATGTTACTTCAATTCCTATTTTTATGTTCACAGGTGAGTTTTGAGCATCCTATCATACTTTTCTTGGCCATATGGATGGAGTCTTCATTCAATTGCTTGTTTACATCATTTGTCTACTTTTGCTGTTGGTTTGTTTTTCTTTTGTGTGTAACTGCTTAGAGCTCTTTGTTTATGTTGATGTTAACTCTGTATATGTCCTCTGAAATGTAAATCTTTTCCCCAGACTAATTTTGTCTATTGATGTTATGGTATCTTTTCCTAAGTCCTTAAAATTTGTTGAAATTGTCAAATATATCTATTTGGAATTTCAATTAATACTTAAGAGGCTTATTCTACCCCTAGAATGTACAAAGCCATTTTGCTTATTAACTGGAATGTAAATATAAATTAAATCTTATTTAAGTTTTTCATTAAACGTTTAATCTATTTTTGTTTTATTTTTGTGTAAGTTATTAGCTATATGTACAATTTTATCAGCTTACAACTGGAAAGCTAGTTACAGTAACCCATTTATTTAATGATGTGTGCATTTCCAACATATGTCTCTAATTACTTGTCTCTCCATTAGTCTGTAAGTTTACTGAAGTTAAGGCCCATGGTTTAAGCAGCCTTTCATTCTTATAATCTCTGAATCTCGTGGAACATGATAAATCATAATACATATATGTTGAATGAATAAACAAATTGTTTTAAGATTTCAGGAAGACACTAGTAATAATCATATTTACAGGTAGTTTTGTCCTGAACTCTGAAATGAGAAGTACAGAAGAACCTGTGGAACAAAGGACCAATGTAACTGAATTTGTCCTCTTGGTGCTTACTCAGAGCCTCCAGGGTCAGAAAATATTATTTGCTGTGTTCTTGCTCATCTACGTTGCGACAATGGTGGGCAACCTACTCATTGTCTTGACTGTGATGGTCAGCCCAATGCTGGAGGTCCCTATGTACTTCTTTCTTGGATACTTATCATTTATGGATGCTGTTTATTCTACTACAGTCACCCCAAATTTGATTATAGACCTACTCTGTGAGAAGAAAACCATCTCCTTCCACGCTTGCATGAGCCAGCTTTTTATAGGGCACTTATTTGGTGGTGCTGAGATTTTACTCCTGGTGGTCATGGCCTGTGACCGCTATGTGGCCATCTGCAAACCCTTGCATTATTTGACAATCATGAGTCAGCGGGTGTGTATTCTGCTGCTTCTATTGGCCTGGATTGGAGGGTTTTTGCATGCTATAGTTAAACTTCTGTTGGTTTACAATCTGCCCTTCTGTGGCCCCAATGTCATAGACCACTTCATCTGTGACATGTACCCCTTATTAAAACTTGCCTGCACTGACACCTACATTATTAGTCTCACTGTGATTGCCAATGATGGGACAATCTGTGTGGTCATCTTTATGCTCTTACTCATCTCCTATGGGGTCATTCTGCACTCCCTGAAGAATCTTAGTCAAGAAGGGAGGCGCAAAGCCTTAACCGCTTGTGGCTCCCACATCACTGTCGTGGTCCTCTTCTTTGTCCCTTGTATTTTTATGTATGTGAGACCTCCTTCTACCTTACCCATTGATAAATCCTTGACTGTGTTTTACACTGTTATCACACCTATGTTGAACCCCTTAATCTATACTCTGAGAAATGGAGGGATGAAAAATGCCATGAAAAAGCTCTGGAGTAGACAAAGTAAATGAGGCAGCAGGCAAATGACTCACATGTTTTCAATGAAGAATTGCTCCTTCCAGGAAAGCCATCTGTCATTATTTAACTGTAGTAAAGATCTCATGTTTAATAACTTGGGCATGATGAAAAACTTTCATTATGTGAATACGTCCCATGATCAAAACATTTTTTAAGATTTTCATAATTTCCAAGTTCAAAATACATATTTTATTTTAAATATACTTTTAAGATTTTCGTAATTTCTTTGGAAAATATATATTCAGTTTTTGTGCATAAAATGTATCTGTTGAGACTATAGATTTATGCTCTATGTCATTAGCATGCTATAGTTAATACTATTTATTTTACTGATTATTTTAATCAAAGATTTTTATCATTTGTTTCTTAAATAATGCAATCTTTTTCAGAATTAATAGCGCTCATTGCAAATTTCAGCAAAATAAAATAAAAAAATAAGACACAAAATCTTGTTTCACTCCTCTCCACACAGACAGCCCATGTTAATGTTGAAACATATATCTTATTTCTGTATCTGCAAGATACTTTAAAATATATAGTTTTGCTCATATTGCTTATACCTTAAGTTTGAAGATGAATGATGCTTCACAGTTCTAATATTAATGATAATTAGGCCAAGCATATACAAAGATTTGAACTAACCAAGGGAGATATGAAGAAAAATAACTAAATTTTATGTAGTGTTGTGATTGGGAAATCATAGTATCTCCTCAAGTGGAACCATTTTGTTTGGTGTCACATTTTCATAAAGATGATCCATTAAGCTTTCCAGATAGTTTGAAATATCTGATAACATGTCTGCTATTTTACAATATCCTCATCTCCTTTCTTTGCTTATAGTGTTTCATAGCCTTCTAGAGCAACCCAGGCCCTGTCTTTCATATATAGAATTAGCATGATCTATAATCCATGTGCTTCAAATACACCATACAGAACTCCACATCAGTTATCTTGGGTGACATTACTGTTAAGAAAGATACTGACAATATATGCTGTTCTTGACTCTCTTATTAATGGAATGTACATTATTAGGTGATACAGAGTGCAGAACATATTGTTTTATTTGACAGAGACCTCAGTAATAAAATAGAAGGATATGGTCAAAGAAACTCCTGACTATGCCTCCCTTTTTTAGTCTGGATTCCTAAAGGGGTAAGTCGATGGGGAAACAGGTCCTTTTCATTGGTGATGACACAGTATGAGAAACTTTATATCCTGATATTTATGCCTGCTATTATTGCATAGAGGTTCATTGTATCATCTCAAATTCTTCTCAAAGTAATACTATTCACCAAATGATATGAAGTATTTGAATTTATCAGAATTTACATAATTAACTCCTTCACTTTTGGACATTGCTATAGACTGAAAGTTTGAGTCTCCCCCTGAATTCACAAGTTCAATCCTTTATAATGTGGTGGTATTTGAAAGTGGCTTTTTGGGAAATGGTTAGGTCATGAAGGTGGCGCCCTCATGAATGGGATTAGTGTCCTTATAAAAGAGACCCCAGACAGTTCACTTGGCCCTTCTGTCTTGTGAGGACATGGAAAAAAGATGGCTGCCTATGAATTAGAAAGTGAGTCCTCACCATACACGGATTCAGCCGGCAACTTGATCTGAGACTTCCAAGCCTCCAGAACTATGACATATAAATGTTTGTTGTTTAAGTTGCCCAGTCTATGGTGTTCTGTAATAGCAGTCCAAATGGACGAAGACAGACATTTAGTTAATTTTTAAATTGATAGAGCTATTTCAATTGATAGAATTAAAATCTTTATTCATTACCTATGTTCATTGCTTTATAAGCTCTCACAGTCAGGGAAAGTTTTTTAGCTGTCTTTGGGCTCTCTGTTCCTTGCATAACGTCTGGGACATAGAATCCACTCCAAAAACTTTATAGTTACTTGTATCCTTGAATTCTTGGTCTAGTGGGGTGAGAATTTTTACTGATGAATTTTTATAGACTCTTTCTACATTAAACATATATATTTGCTACAGATATTTGCTCTTCCCTGATATTTAAAACAAATATTAAGCTTATGTTATTTATACTATAATTATGGATGTTTTTATATAAAGATGTTATATTTGAATATTCTCTTACTTTTTGATTTCTTCTATCACATCACTCTTGGAAAATTCCATTTACTTCAATGATTTTATCAATTTTAACTTCTGTGTTTTTTCACAAACTTTTTAGAAAACTTTATTTTTTAACCCATCTAGAATTTAATTTTGTTTGTGATTAGGAAATAACTAAACCTATTTTCTACAAACAGGTAAACTAATCTGCCAATATTATTATTAATTTCAGTAGTAATTTGAAATTTTGCTATGTAATATGTCAAAACGTATACAGTTATAAAGCTTAATTTGGGGGCCATTATTCCTCTTTTCCCTCTTCCTCCTTAGCCCTTATCTTCATATTTCTTCTTATTCTTTGGTGTATTCCCCTACCACTAACATACCATGTCAGTGGTCAAGAATTTTTAATGTGTACTTGCTTACTAGTGTAGTCTCCCGTAATTATTCATCTTTTTCAAAAACTTCTTCCAATTCCTATATATTTAGTTTCTCCTGATAAATTTTAGGGTCATTGTTTTTTGTTAAGATTACGATAGTTTACAGCCTTGTGAAATTTCAGTTGTACATTATTGTTAGTCATGTTGTAGGTACACCACTTCACCCTTTGTACACTCCCCCCACCCCCTCTTTCCCCTGGTAACCACCAATCAATTCTCTCTGTCTATATGTTAACTTCCACCTATGAGTGGAGTCATACAGAGTTCGTCTTTCTGTGTCTGGCTTATTTCACTTAACATAATACCAGCAAGGTCCATCCATGTTATTGTGAATGGGAAAGTTTTGTCCTTTTTTATGGCTGAGTGGTATTCCATTGTATACATATACCATATCTTCTTTATCCAATCATCAGTTGATGGGCGCTTAGGTTGGTTCCAAGTCGTAGCTATTGTAAATAATGCTGTGCTGAACATAGGGGTGCATTGGACTTTTGGAATTGCTGACTTCAGTTTCTTAGGATAGACAGCCAGTAGCGCGATGACTGGGTCATAAGGTATTTCTATTTTTAACTTTTTGAGAAATCTCCATACTGTTTTCCATAGTGGCTGTACCAGTTTGCATTCCTACCAACAGTGTATGAGGGTTCCTTTTTCTCCACAACCTCTCCAACATTTGTCACTCTTAGTTTTGGATATTTTTCCATTTTAACAGGTATAAGGTGATATCTTAGTGTAGTTTTGGTTTGCATTTCCCTGATGATTAGTGATGATGAGCATCTTTTCATGTGTCTATTAGCCATCCTTATATCTTCTTTGGAGAAATGTCTGTTCTTGTCCCCTGCCCATTTTTTGATTGGGTAGTTTGATTTTTTGTTGTTGAGCTGTGTGAGTTCTTTATATAACATGGAGATTAACCCTTTGTCAGATAAATAACTTGCAAATATTTTTTTTCCCAATTAGTGGGTGGTTTTTTTTGTTTGTTTCAATCCTGTTTTCCCTTGCCTTGAAGAAGCTCTTTAGACTGATGAAGTCCCATTTGTTTATTCTTTCTATTGTTTACCTCATCTGAGGAGTTATGGTGTCTGAAAAGATTCTTTTGAAACTGATGTCAAAGGGTGTACTGCCTATATTCTCTTCTAGGAGACTTATTGTTTCAGGCCTAATCCTTAGGTCTTTGATCCATTTTGAGTTTATTTTTGTGAATGGTGAAAAAGAATGGTTGATTTTCATTCTTTTACATGTGGCTGTCCAGTTTTCCCAGCACCATTTCTTGAAGAGTCTTTCTTTTCTCCATTGTTGTCCCTCAGCTCCTTAGTCGAAGATTAGCTGTCCATAGATGTGTGGTTTTATTTCTGAGATTTCAATTCTTTCCATTGATCTGGGCACCTGCATTTGTACCAGTACCATGCTGTTTTGATTACTATAGCTTTGTAGTATGCTTTGAAGTCAGGGATTGTGATGCCTCCAGCTTTGTTCTTCTTTCTCAGGATTGCTTTAGCAATTCGGGGTCTTTTGTTGCCCCATATGAATTTTAGGATTCTTTGTTCAGTTTCTGTAAAGAATGTCATTGGGATTCTGATTGGGATAGCGTTGAATCTGTAGATTGCTTTAGGTAGTATGGACATTTTAACTATGTTTATTCTTCAATCCATGTGCATGGAATGTCTTTCCATCTCTTTATGTCATCATCAATTTCTTTCAAGAAAGTCTTGTAGTTTTCATTGTATAGATCTTTCTCTTCCTTGGTTAAATTTATCACAAGGTATTTTTTTTCTTTCTGTTGGGATTGTGAATGGGATTAAGTTCTTGAGTTCTTTCTCTTTTAGTTCATTGTTAGCATACAGAAATGCTACTGATTTATGTATGTTGATTTTATACCCTGCAACTTTGCTGTAGCTTTTGATTGTTTCTAATAGTTTTCTTATGGATTCTTTGGGGTTTTCTATATATAAGATCATGTTGTCTGCAAACAGCAAGAGTTTTCCTTCTTTGTTGCCTATTTGGATTCATTTTATTTCTTTTTCCTGACAAATTGCTCTGGCCAGCACCTCCAGTACTATGTTGAATAGGAGTGGTGAAAGTGGGCACCCTTGTCTTGTTCCTGTTCTCAGAGGGATGGGTTTCAGTTTTTGTCTGTTGAGTATGATGTTGGCTGTGGGTTTGTCATATATAGCCTTTATTATGTTGAGGTACTTTCCTTCTATACCCATTTTATTTAGGGTTTTTATCATAAATGGATGTTGGATCTTGTCGAATGCTTTCTCTGCATCTATCGAGATGATCATGTGGTTTTTGTTTCTCATTTTGTTAATGTAGTGTATCACATTGATTGACTTGCGGATGTTGAACCATCCCTGTGTCCCTGGTATAAATCTCACTTGATCATGGTGTATAATCTTTTTGATGTATTGCTGTATTCGGTGTGCCAGGAATTTTGTTGAGGATTTTTGCATCTATGTTCATCATTGATGTTGGCCTATATGTCTCCTTCTTTGTGTTGTCCTTGTCAGGTTTGGGGATCAGGGTGATGTTGGCTTCATAGAATGTGTTAGGGAGTGCTCCATCTTCCTCTATTTTCTGGAATAGTTTGAGAAGGATAGGTATTAAATCTTCTTTGAATGTGGTAGAATTCTACAGAGAAGTCGTCTGGTCCTGGACTTTTATTTTTGGGGAGGATTTTGATTACTGTTTCTATTTCTTTACTTGTGATTGGTCTATTCAGATTCTCTAATTCTTCCTGATTCAGTGTGGGGAGGTTGTATGAGTCTAGGAATTTATCCATTTCTTCTGGGTTGTTCAATTTGTTGGCATATAGTTATTCATAGTATTCACTTATGATCCCTTGTATTTCTTTGGTATCCGTTGTGATTTCTCCTCTCTCATTTCTCATTTTATTTGAGTCTTCTCTCTTTTTTTTGTAGTGAGTCTGGCTAAGGGTTTGTTGATGTACTTAATTTTTTTGAAGAACCGACTCTTTGTTTCATTGATCCTTTCTACTGTCTTTTTTGTTTCAATATCATTTGTTTCTGTTCTGATTTTTAATATTTTCCTCCTTCTACTGACTTTGGGCTTTGTTTGTTCTTCTTTTTCTAATTCTGTTAGGTTTGTTTGAGGTTGCTTATGTAAGATTTTTCTTGATTTTTGACGTGAAGCCTGTATTACTATGAATTTCCCTCTTAGGACCGCTTTTGCTGTATCCTAAGTGAGTTGGTATGGTGTGTTTTCATTTTCATTTGTCTCCAGATAATATTTGATTTCTTCTTTAATTTCTTCAATAATCCATTGTTTGTTCAGTAGCATGTTGTTTAGTCTCCACATTTTTTTCCCCTTTCCCAGCTTTATTCTTGTAGTTTATTTCTAGTTTCACAGCATTATGATCAGAAGAGATGCTCGATATTATTTCAACCCTCTTGAAGTTATTGATGCTTGCTTTGTTTCCCACAATATGGTCTATCCTTGAGAATGTTCCATGTACATTTGAGAAGAATGTGTAACCTGTTTCTGGATGAAGTGTTCTATATATGTCTATTAAGTCTATCTGGTCTAATTTTTCATTTAATTCTATAATTTCCTTGTTGATTTCCTGTCTGGATGATCTATCCATTGGTGTCAATGGGATGTTGACATCCCCTACTATTATTGTATTGTTGTTGATGTCTCCTTTTAGTTTTGTTCATAGTTTCTTTACAAATTTTGGTGCTCCTGTGTTGGGTGTGTATATATTTATAAGTGTTATGTCATCATGATGGAGTGTCCCTTTTATCATTATTAACTGCCCCTCTTTGTCTTTCTTTATCTGTTTTGCTTTGAAATCTAGTTTGTCTGATATAGGTATGGCAACACCTGCTTTCTTTTGTTCATTGTTAGCTTGGAGTATTGTCTTCCATCCCTTCACTCTGAGTCTGTGTTTTTCTTTGGGGCTGAGGTGTGTTTCCTGGAGGCAGCATATTGTTGGATCTTGTTATTTGATCCATCCTGCCACTCTGTGTCTTTTGATTGGTGAGTTCAATCCATTTATATTTAGAATGATTATAGAAATGTGTGGGACTACGGCTGCCATTTTATCACTTGTTTTCTGGTTCTCTTGCAATTTCCCTTGTTTCTCGTCCCATGATGTTTTGGATTCCCTAGTTCAGGCAGGTGAATTTTCTGTATTGTCTTTCTTTCTTATTTTGTAATTTGTGCCTTTATTCTTGTTATTTATTTAGTGATTACCAGGTGGTTTAAATAAAACATCTCATAGATGAGATAGTCCATTTTCTGATAGCCTCTTATTTCCTTAAATTAAAATGTTCCATTCCTTTTCTCTTC